CATAATGATTAGAAATATGATGAAACAACACTCAAAAACATAATAGGTAGAAAGGTTTCACCCATTAATAATAATAATAATCAAGTTAAGTTCATCATCTTACTTATTATAAAACGCAGATTGTGTGTGTGTGTGTGTGTGTGTGTGTCTGTACGTTTATATATTGGATTGGATTTCCTACATTTTTTAACCGATTTCAACAAAACTTCACAGGACTATGTAAAATTACCTTGTGGTGGTTCTGACAGTGCCAAAAATTGGAAAAACACAATTGTTTTTGCACGAAATCAATTTGAAAACACGATAAAACACGATTCTGTCGCCAGAATGAAAGGGGGATAACTCATATGGCAGGTAGTGTTTCTTATTGTCTTGCACACTTTTTTCTTTATTTTTACATTCAGGATGCTTTAAAAATTCCATTTACAAGACAATTGTTTATAATAAATTCTATTCAATCGGTAGACTCATAACGATTGAAAACAATGTTTATATTTGAGTTTGGGTTTGACCAAAAAAAAAAAAAAAAAATAATAATTAAGACATGCGTGTCCGTCAATCTTAAACAATAATCTTTGTAAATTTTATTTTTCAGTCTTTATGATGGTCGATACTTGATCTATCTCTTACTGTTACATCCCCGGGCAACGCCGGGCTCTACTGCTAGTACATTATAAAAAATTTAAAACAATTGACTTCATAGTCTCCAAAACCCTACAACCACACAACTAAATCCACTACAAAAAAACAATGTAGTGTACCAATCTACATGTCCATACAGAGACTGTATATCTGATATTAATAATAAACCCACTACATACATTGGTTTTACTACAACTACGCTCTCTCGTGGACTCACCTGTCACCTTTCTGATCTTAGATCCGTTAAACAACATTTCTTAAAAAAAAAAACAGCCATGTACATAATATTAGATAGATATTAGTTGATAACACAATAATACTCACACATACACACAGTAAAAAGAACCTTCAGATATTTAAAACAAAGCAACCTAGACTCGACAATATTTTTCTGGCTTTAAATAACCTGCAAATGTTACTGATCAGAACCACCGTTGCTTAACTTCTTAATTAGTAAGACTTGTATCACTAAACCATTATTATTTTAAAAAATGGCCCAGTGGATAAATACGTTGGTTAGATCAAGTGATTGGATCCAAAGAGTTATGACTTCATTAGCAGGCCACAGCAGTGGTGACCCAAACCATGGAGAGGTGAGATAAAGGGAAATAACTGAGACATCCAGAAGAGGCACGGCACGTTGAACTAGAACAATCTACCACAGTGGACGGAATAAAGAGTTCGGTTCGAAATTCCAATCACCTGAAGAAGGCCAGTGTATCAGCCCGAAACGTTTTGAATATAACCGCTGAAGATACATCGGCCGAAACGTTTTGAATATGGCAATGAAGATGAAGATAACTGTCCGAATAACGGAAATAATACAAATAATCATAATACCTCATCTTAGAGATATAGACAGATAAAAAAATACATTCTTACGATCTAAAATTATTTTCTTCAAAAGTCTGGCCATTGACAACGACTTGCAAGGACTTGATAACTGCGAGAGCACTACAGAAGTATAAAAGTTGAATTTTTTTTGCCTGTTGCCATACATCCGGGTTTGGCAACACGGCTTTGTCGACCTCTCTGCCTCTGGGCGCTGAGGGACCTAGACGAAGCTTTTCCGAACGGCAGAGTCTCGCCTGGGGAGGTAGACAGCTACCCGGCCCCGTGTATGCGGGGTCTACGGGGAATTTTTGCCCGGGCGTACAGGCTCGGAAAACCCCACGTAAAATGTCCTTGTGCCACATCCCGCCTTGTGTGGAAGTAACGGGCAAATACCGTTATACATTGAAATCAGACAAGATATATTCTGTTATATAAATGGGGATATAACCCCCAAATCTTGCCAACATCAGTTGTTAATACGAGATTTATTTTGAAAATATTAATTTGTATGATAAAAGCTCAAAAGCAATGGCTGTACAGTGAGGGTATACGAACAAATAGAGAAAAAAAAATAAACAAAGATCTACTCGGGGTAGGGTGATTTACTTGCAATAACCACACACCCACCGTGCCAGGTTGTGACACACGGTCGGTTTAATGTGGGAACCAGATCGCGTACACTCGGGCTAAGGGCAAAAATTCCGCGAGCCTCCACAACTGTCGATTGCGCTGGCCTCGGTGCGTGCTCCGATGCCTCTCTCTAGCCCAATGAGAGGGTATAGACTCGAGCTTCTGTTTCCCAGGGCTGGGCACCTCACCGTATGATTTTCATCAGTTGCGCCTCTGTCCTCCGACGGAGTCGCAACTGAGTCACACTCTGCCCGAAGACAGAGACTCAACTGAGAGAAAGACTCGGAGTAGACGTAAAAGGCCTCAATACTTTAATAATAACGAGAAAGAAAGCGTGAAAATTTCATGGTTTTCCTATTTGAATTTTAATCCTTGAATTATCTCAGCGATTTCTACGGCAATAAAATATCCGTAGAAATTTCCCTTATCGCATCGTTAAATATTTGAGCTTAACAACTTTAACAAAATATTTCAATAACAATCATAAATATGAATGCAGGTCGTTATTTTAAGAAGTAAGGGGATACAAATGAAAAGATTTAAAATTGATGTCATTTTCTAATAAAATAGACGTAAAACTCTTCTATATTCTCTTCTTTCTTTCTTTCTTTCTTTTTTCTACTGAAATTAAGTTGTGCCTTTCCCCCACTTTCCACGTGATCAAAAAGAAATAATCCATTATATTTGAGGTATTGGCAGGAGTTGTTCAATACTTTTATCTTCCCTTACTTCTTTAATTTCTTTCTAGACAAATCCCCGTCTTACGAACATTTCTCTAAATAATAATGACACTAAATAATAATAATAATAATAATAATAATAATAACAATTATTTTTAACGAGTGAGATTTCATGGTTTTTAAATTTTCCGGTGAATCTTAATTCTCCAGTTAATGATTAAATAAGTTCTTGTCAAGTTTTATGACAATAAAATATCTGTAGAAGTTCCCTTATCGCATCGTTAAATATTTGAGCTTAACAACTTTAACAAAATATTGCAATAATAATCATAAATATGAAAGCTGGTATTTATTTTAAGAAGTGGGTACAAATGAAAAGATTTGAAATTGACGACTTTTTTTTTATTTCGCTGAATCAACCATTAAACACTTCTGTCTTTCTTTCTTTCATTTACTAACTGAAACCAAGTAGCGTGTGTCTTTTGTTTTTCTACTCAATCAAAAAGGGAATAGCCTATTATTTATGAAGTATTGGCAAGAGACGTAAAACACTTCTAACTTACCTTCTTTCTTCCTTTTATAGCTAAATCCCTTTCTTACGATCATTTCTCTTCATAATAATTTTAAAATATTTCAACAGACGATGTGATTTTATTTATGGTAACTGGATTTTTGGCGATTGTCTTCCTGTCATTCGATACTGTGCGTCTGAAAAATGGTGTTTTAAGGCGATCGCCGTCGTTTTTCGACCTTTTAAATCGGGGAGGTTGGAATAATTATTTAGGAGGAATTGGCAGGAGACGTTAAACACTTCTGTCTTCCGTTCTTTCTTTCATTTTCTCACTGAAACCAAGTAGCGCGTTTGATATGTCTTCTATCCTCGCAAGTGATCAAAAACGGAATAGTCCATTATTTAGGAGGTATTTTCCATCTTTCCCTGTGATCAAAGCGGAATAGTCCATTATTTATTAGGTATTGGCAGAGTTGAATACTCCTGCTAACTAAGGAAATAACAAGCAGAATTCTAATAATAATAATAATAATAATAATAACATTCTCTCCAGAAAATCTGACATCGATTTTGGTAGATATGAACATGGTGAGCTAAGTGTCGAACAAGTCTCGTGTAAGCCTACCATCAGCTTCATAATTATTAACAGAAAGTGCGAGGAAAAAAGAGATTAAAAGAACGAGAAAGAAAAGGAAAAATAGAGAAGAAAAGCGGAAACGGTATATTTTTTAAACCTAATATTCATTCAGTATAAGGCTCAAGAATCCCTCAATGGAGACGGTGTGTGCCATGAAGAAGTATAAGATTACACGTCTCCTATACTTGCAAGTGATCAAAAACAGAATAGTCCATTATTTATGAGGAATTAGCAGGAGACGTTAAAAACTTATATCTTCCTTTCTTTCTTTCTTTCTTTCATTTTCTCACTGAAACCAAGTAGCGTGTTTGATATATCTTCTATCTTCTTTCTTTCATACTCCAGAAACATAGTTTGGAAAAAAAAAACCTTATAAATAATGGACTATTCCGTTTTTGATCACTTGCGAGGATAGAAGACATATCAAAAACGCTACTTGGTTTCAGTGAGAAAATGTAAGAAAGACGTGAAGATAGAAATGTGTAACGTCTCCTGCCAATTCCTCATAAATAATGGACTATTCCTTTAGTCAAACCTTTGATTTTTTTCTCCCTATTATTTATTCACAGTATATCTCACTCTGTTCATATCTATCTATCTATCTATCTATCTATCTATCTATCTATCTATCTATCTATCTATCTAACGAGCTCTTTCCATTATCTATCTATCTATCTATCTATCTATCTATCTATCTATCTATCTATCTATCTATTTATCTATGTCCTATTCTGTTCCTATCTATCTATATAACAGGCGATTAACTTAGACTTGAAGTTAATATTGCAGTATTCGAGAATGATTCGTTTTTTACGGATTATCAACCGTTTGCAACTTATTTAAATCCATAAATATTTTTTAAGATTGTAATATTTTATCGAGATAATACTCGTTTAGAGATACAAGTCTTAGTATTAATCCATAACTGGGTGAGAAAAAGTCAATTCATATGTTTCCCAATGTATTCGCGCGTACCCTGATATAACGAACGCAGTGGAAATTAGAACGAGGCTGACGGAATAAAAAATTGCGAGACGTTATCCATTACCTCACCTGCAAATTCAAGCTTACAGTACCTGATATTCCCAGGCGGTCACCCATCTAGGTAATGACCAAGCTCGACGTTGCTTAATTTTGGTGATCATACGAGAGCTGGTGTTTCAGTATGATATGGCCGTAAGACCTTTATACCACCGGCACATACAATCTTACAATAGATGGTATTCCCAAGCCGTTGCTCCTCTAGGTACTGACCAGGCTCGACGTTGCTTAACTTTGGTGGTCGTACGGGAACCTATGTTTCAACGCGATGTGGTCCTAAGCCTTGTACTGTTCAAGAAAGCGTTCAAGAAAATGCTTATTGCACAAAATAGCGGTTCCATTTCGAAAGAAAAAAAGGTCAATACTTTAGAAAAAAAAAGAAAGGGGACTCTCCTTGTCTCTTCTGAGCTGGATGAGTTCACGGGCCTCCTTCTCTTCCTTTTCATATGTATGAATTACCATTATTCATTCCAAAGAAAAGCCTCTGAAAAGTACCCTACTCTCTTTCTCGTACGTTCCAGAGACCATTTTTTTAAAAAAAACGGTTTCGAATTCAGTGTTTTTCCTTCACTTCGGCTGGGTACGATCCAAGGCCAGTCAGCTATTTCACTCATGGTTGGGTGATGAGGGAGAGATGAACTCATGCCTTTACAAAGGGCAACTGATTTCTCCGCAAATTCTGTTGTGGCTCATTGATTTCTGCGTCGATAGCCGTAACGTTACGCGCACGCCCTCCGATTAAAGAGCTGCTTTTTTTTATATTGATTCGGGTCGGGTCGGGTGCATCTCTTCTTCCTTGCCGTAACGCCCGGGTGTCTTCGGATTATCGCTTGGATTAGCCGATTTGCTACCTGACAATCTCCTAATCAGTTTAAATTAACGAGAAAGAAAACAGGAGATCATGACCCGCTTATCCACAGAGAATTTAATATGGCTATCTATCTATCTATCTATCTATCTATCTATCTATCTATCTATCTATCTATCTATCTATCTATCCCAGTCTATTCATTATCTATCTATCTATCTATCTATCTCAGTCTATTCATTATCTATCTATCTATCTATCTATCTATCTATCTATCTATCTATCTATCTATCTATCTCAGTCTGTTAATATCTATCTATCTATCTATCTCTATCTATCTTTGTCGGTTTGTTCATTATCTATCTATCTTAGTCTATTCATTATCTATCTATCTATCTATCTATCTATCTATCTATCTCAGTCTGTTCATATCTATCTCTATCTATCTATTTATCTATCTATCTATCTAAGACTATTTGATATTTTTTTGGTTTTAACACATCCTTGAGATATTATTTTCCCTTTTTCTTTGTATTCTTCATTCCCCACTTTTCCCTTCTTCTTCTCTTTCACTATTCATTATCGCTTTCTATTTCTTCTCTCTCACTTTCTCTCTCTCTCTCTCTCATTCTCTCTAATTGAATCCTTTTTTTCACCCCTTCCTTTCTTTTCTGCATTGTTGTACACACTCTACTCTTATTTTTTCTTCGTTTTCCTCTTTTATCACACTTCTCTTTTTCATCTTTCTTCTTCCTCCACCTCCTCCTCCTCCTCCTCCTCCTCCTTCTTCTTCTTCTTCCCCCTTTCTGTTTCTTTTCTCGTTTCAGCACTCTTCTACGTTAAACCTTTGATTCTTTCTCCCTATTATTTCTTCAGTCTGTCTTCTTCTTCCACCTCTTCCTTCTCCTCTTTCTTCTTCTTCTTCTTCTTCCTTTCCTCCTTTCTTCTTCTTTTCTTCTTTCTTTTATTTCCTTTTCTATTCAAACCTTTCATTTCTTCTCACTATTTCTCTACAGTCTTTCATCTTCTTCCCCACCTTCATTCTTCTTCTTCTTCTTCTTCTTCTTCTTCTTCTTCTTCTTCTTCTTCTTCTTCTTCTTCTTTAATAGACCAAACACAAGGAAAAAAGATATAACCTGAAGAATCCTGGAATTTTTGCTACTTTTAGTTTATTAATCGTCTCTGACACTTCAAAAGCTCCATGGACACAGACCAGATATCGACACGTATCAATAATTAGCCTTAATCGGATTAAAGCAGATTTAAACTGCCATTTGCCAATTTTCAGATCTGTGTCTTCCGAATCGTCTTGGATCCATTTTTTTTATTCTCTGAAGCGTTCATTGTTCATTTAGAATATCCGCCTATGATCTGGAGTTGGTTTGAATGCTGTCATGGCACCTACCCTGAATACATAAAAAAAAAATCAGGAAATATTGTAAATATTGAATATTTCAAATAACACGACGCAGGGATCAGCTATGAGATATTTAATATAAGAGATAAATGAATCGAACACAGAATAGGCTGGCCAAGAGATAGTCTCGCCTAACACCGCATATTGCTGCTGAACCAAAACAATGACCTAAAAACTCGATTTACGTTCTTAAATAGTCTCGTCATATGGAGACATTCAAATGGCTGTCATGGTGCCAAACCCGTCCAGAAATACCTAAATTTCTGGTTGTATACAACCCCTTCCGCAAATCAATGGTTAAAAATGGCTTTAAGCGATTAAAACAAGGACCATCCTTCTTTAAACGTTGTAGGCTGGCGCTACAGAATCACAAACAAAGAACTGTACCACATAATATAAACCACATCACTTCAGGACACTCAAAAACAACAACCAATATATATCATTTTTTTGTTTGTAATGTTTGGCAATTCATGAACAAACTTGCCCGCAATAAAATGTAGTTTCAAAAGGACGTAGTTTCTAATGATACCGTTTCTTTTTTAACTACCTTCTCTTTTTGGCAATTTTTATTGTTTTAAAAAACAACTGTAATAAAACCTAAACATATGAAAGTGATTTGATAAATTTTCTTTGTTCTTGAGAATTGACAACAAAAACAATAAACATTATTTATTTATTAGATTGTTTATTTACCCAATTAGATTGTTTATAGGAATGAGTGGCAAAACATCGGTTAATTGCCAGTCAATTCGAACTTTATAAAATGGTAAATAATAAGAATTTCCTTATAGTTGGTTCACATATTTTAATAATTTAGTAAATGTTAATAAATTGATGAACGAAAAATTGTGTTCATATTTAATTTTTTATAAATTGCCAAATGTTTAGTTGTAATACACTCTGGTCACCATCAGTTTTCATTATATGAGGTATCTTATATTTGTCAATGATTGTGTTATATATTTGTGTGCTTGTAATGTTAAACAACAGATTTCACTCTTTGATACGTCTTATGACAGAAGATTGAAAATGTGGCATTGAAATCCGAAGGTAGATTGGATTAGCGAAAGATGCCTTTCAAAAACTGAACAAAATATGAGGTTAACTGGAAAAATTGAATAGAAACTGATAGTATTAGTTTTTAGAATATTATAAACATAAATTTATTCTTGTAAGTAAACAATCTAATAAATAAATATTGTTTTTTCACTGCTAATTCTCAATTGTTCAGTTTTGGCTGCTTGCTTTTGATATAGAAGGCCTCAAGTTTTTGTTTATTTTCATGGTGTAGTCAGTTGGTGCGGTCAACACATTTTTTCCTGTATTGTGAAGATGGACAGGAATGTATCTTTAAATGTTTGCGATAGAACTTGTATTCAACAAATGAAGTGTAAGTCGTCTTGATAATGTTGTGGTTGTTAAGCCAACATATGTACTTACTTTTTTGTCAGCGATACAATCTCCCAAATGACATTTAAACTAAAATACAATGTTGGTCTTTTCCAGAACACTAGTTGAAGGAGAAGATTTATTACGTATGATTAAATTGGTCGTGTTAAATTTAGTATAGTATATAATTAGTTACTGGCATCAGTGGGGAATATATTAGAGATTTTTTAGTATTTTTTTAACCTGTTTATAGTTAGAATTTATAAAAGTTAGTATTTGATTACGGTATAGTAGTTTTATATGTCTAGAGTCTTTTTTTATTTATATTAATATTTCTAATAGCTCGTCTAATTTTTTCTTCAACAATGTAATTAGGAAAGCTGAAGAGACACTGAACTTAGAAGAAGAAAGGAATAATGTTTGATTATCGATTGATTAGAACTATTGTCCTTATCTTTGTCGTAGAAATTACTAGCAGTGGCGCCCGGCGTTGCCCGGGGATGTAACAGTAAGAGATAGATCAAGTATCGACAATCATAAAGACTGGAAAAATAAAATTGACAAAGATTTTTTTTTTTTTTTTTTCGAATTGGTCAAACCCAAACTCAAACAAAAACATTGTTTTCAATCGTTATGAGTCTACCGATTGAATAGAATTTTATTATAAACATTTGTCTTGTAAATGGAATTTTTAAAGCATTCTGAATGTTAAAAATAAAGAAAAAAGTGTGCAAGACAATAAGAAACACTACCTGTCCCCCCACCAAATGAAGTTTTTTTGAAATCGGTTGAAAAATGTAGGAAATCCGATCCCATATATAAACGAACACACACACACACACACACACACAAAAAACCCTGGGTTTTATAATAAGTATAACTCGATATGAGTTGTCCCCCTTTCATTCTCGGGATGCCTCTTAATTGTGTTTTCAAATTGATTTCGTGCAAAAACAATTGTGTTTTTCCAATTTTGGGCACTGTCAGAACCACCGCAAGGTAATTTTACGTAGTCCTGTGAAGTTTTGTTGAAATCGGTTGAAAAATGTAGGAAATCCGATCCAATATATAAACGTACAGACACACACACACACACACAACCTGGGTTTTATAATAAGTATGATATGATGAACATTTCGACCAAATACACTCTGGTCACCATCAGTTGTTCATTATATGAGATATCTTATATTTGTCGATGATTGCGTTATATATTTGTGTGCTTGTAATGTTAAACAACAGATTTCACTCTTTGATACGTCTTATAACAGAAGATGGAAAATGTGGCATTGAAATCCGAAGGTACATTGGATTAGCGAAAGATGCCTTTCAAAAACTGAACAAAATATGAGGTTAACTGGGAAAAATTCAATAGAAACTGAAAAAAAATATCTAAATCACTATATAATATCAATTCTCCTACGTGGCTGGACAGATGAATAGGACACATGAGACAGGAGATATGGTTCTACAGAAGGATGCTGAGAATGTCATGGTCGAAGCATGTGAGCAACGAGGACGT